ATGAACTTACAGTAGTTGAATGTTTATGCTTGGGCTGTTTTGAAGAGTCCTCTGATGATATGACGTGAGCAAAGAAAATTACTTAGAAAAGTGAATGAATTCTCACCCATGTTTTGGAAACATTAAACAAGCGCTGCAAGCAGGAAATGTTTTTTTTTCACTCTCTCCCTCTCCGCGGTTAGAAGACGCGACCCCAGTTTGGCTTGACTAGTTTCACATGGCTGTCTTCAGTGGTGTTGGTGGTAAATTATATTAAATCGTTAGTACATACTAGCCTTTGAAGTAATATTTGATATATGATTTTATAGTTAGGGACATGGTTTAGTGGCTTTACGTTTATTCATTGTGTTCATTTCGTACAATTATACAAGTACAATTATAGATATGGAGGTGTCTGCGTGACCCAGATGGAGTCTTCAAATGACTCCAGGCTCGTTTGGACAGAACTCAGAGGGAATCATTAAAATGGGCATACAAGGTCTGTGTATAATATATTTGGGGTCTGTGTATGTCGATCTGGATTTACTGTATATTAGTCCATGCTACATTCTCCTCTTAGATATGTTTTGAATATGAAAGACTCTTATTATATAAATGTGAGTATAAACGATCATGTCATTACACACACACACACACACACACACACACACACACACACACACACACACACACACACACATATATATAAACATAATGCCATTATCCGTCCTTTATCAAAGAAGAAGATGAACATGAAGTTCATCAAGAAGTATGTGTGTTTGCACACAAGTGCAGGTTTGCACAGTGTTGGTTCAGTTGAGTAATGAGAGTAAGTGTATACAAATCCCGTGTGTGTGTGTGTGTGTGTGTGTGTGTGTGTGTGTGTGTGTGTGTGTGTGTGTGGTTATAATTTGCACACATTAACATTTTCTTTGGATTTTTTTTTGACCTTTCAGTTGTTAGTTTGATTTGTTGGTTTCAAGAACTTCCTGTTTAATGAAGTGTCAGCTATAAAAATGCATTCCTACATTATTGAAATTTAAAATGCTAAATGGTTACTTATAGGAGCGGTGTGATGGCACTTCTTCCACTCGCTTATCTGCTTTGAACAGTTTATTTACGTTTCATTGGAGGCATGTGCAGGGTATTATTTTGCACCCTGCACAAACAACTTCCCGGCCGACTGCAATAATACAGGTGTGTTGTAATACAGATGTCAGAATACATAATACAAAAATATTTCCTCCAAGTTTCTTCTCTCATGTTTCCTGGAACTTGGCTGTGTCATTTTGTCAGGGGGTTGACTCAAATCAAAAAACTGTTACAGGAAATAATCCTGCCTAAATATGTCATGCTGTTTTCTGTCAGTAAGATCAACCAACCCATTGATCAGAATATAGGTTTGCACAAAAAATATGTAGGTATATAATAGATTAAATTATATTTGTTGTACAGTTTTTTATTGTTTTTGGGTACAATCACATTGGCTACCTAGATTTTTTTAGGTATGTGGAAAGTTACCCTTTGGACCCCCTTTTTCATCTGGTCATGGCAGATAAGAAAGGGATTACAGGAGTAACTTAGATTCCCAGCAGTTGTGGAAAAGGCCTATCTGCAATGGCTAATCCTGCAAATATTTCATGCACTTTCATGTTGCATCTTGCTTCATATGGCATAGTTTGGTATTTTAAGTTCAGTGCCACCTTGGTCTGTGTCACCCTGAGTTTTCAGCCTTTTACTTCTATGTGAGTTTGGTAAATGTGGATTAGTTGTTTGTTTTGCTATTTTAACTGGAATCAGACCAGTGCATATTGGGATATGGGGGTACTGTAATTTGCAAATGATATTCATAACATGTTTAGCCAGGCAAGGCTACTGCATCAGATCAACTTCCTGGCTGTCTGTGCAAGACATCTTGTGGTTCATCGATCCTTCATCTCATTGTGGACACTCAGGTTTTGTCCTGGTTGATTAGATGTAAGTGAAGAAGTGATAAAATTAGAGATGAGATCAAATTAAGGGGACAACCCACAAACATTCTAGTAATTTTAGTTCTATATTTTGGAAAGGTTAGGTACCCCTCCTTGTGTCTAGGTGTAAGGTGTGTGTGCTTCTGTCTTTCTTTCAGGGGGTCATTTCAGAGCAGCCATTGGTCTCATTTACTACCGCGCAAAGCAATGGTGAGTGTGTATATCTGCTGCACCCTCACAGAGCAGCTTGTTTACTCCTCTCTGTCTCTGTCTCTCTTGCTCTCTCTCTCTCTCTCTCTCTCTCTCTCTCTCTCGCTCTTTCTCTCTCTCTCTCTCAAGCGCTCACTTCCACTTCCCTGTTTTTACAATTGCATTATAGCTATACCTCTCAAATGCAAAAGCATGCAGTTTGCCTTGAAGGACCAGCTTAGGAACCTGAAATGCATGTCCATAAATTTCCTCAACCAGGGGAGAAAACACCCATTGTGTAACACAGTAAAGGGCCAAGAATCTTCATGGGACTGTGATAAGGCCACGGTGGCCTGATGACCTCAGTCTGGTGCCTGTAAGATAGGGCTGTCTGCTCTTTCGCATAATGATGTGCTCTTTCGACGGTTTGGGATTCCTCTGGACTTGCATCATCTACCACGTTGCAGTTCCACCAGTCAAAACAATTCAGTTATAAAACAGGAAAAAAGTAAAGGATTTATAAAAGCCACAAACCCAAACCAAGCAGCTTCAGTTTCTGTGTGGAGTTGCAGGATGTTAAGGCGTATAATAAGTAACAGACTTTCTTAAGCATAATGGTCATGCTTATTTAGCGAATGAGATGAGTTAAAATAATCTTACCAGTAGTATTCGAGTTGTCAATTCATTATTCCCCTTTTATGCTCATTAGATGGTGTCAGCAGCAATGAGACCAAAATTGCCCTGATCTGACACACCTCACTTGGCAGAGATGCAGGCTGAGGACATGCTGCTTGTTGTGATCGACAGCAGTGAATGAATGGGACTGATCTTATATCTGTCACTCCCTCATTTCTGTGTTCACAGGCTCCACACCCACCCCACACCCCACGCACACTGACGTCCCATTGGACAGAGGCAGCGGGATCATTCCAGGTGAGCAGTACTGACAGTCCTCTCTCCGCTTATAGGACCACTGAAACCCAGAGCACTGGTTCGGGGGTCCTGGGGGCTTGGTATGGGGGCAGCCTTCAGAATGAAACGCAGTAACTACTTGACATTTACAGTTTTACATAGGTGGATAACCAAGTTTATTATCCAAGCCTTCATGTCATGCAGCATGGCACTTAGGATTTTAAAACAACATGAATGCAATGTGCGTGTTCAGTGCAGATCATCATCTGGGTGCTGTGGGCATCTTGCTGTACTTTGGAAAGACCAAAAAACATCAACATGGATTCCTTAACAACCTGCAACATTAACCTGCCCAGAAAGCTCCCCCCTTTTCCAGAAAATGCATTGTCAATTTTAAGTTTTCATTTTTCCATAATTTTAAAGTTTTTTATTTGAAAAAGTTCAATAATTGATTTCAAGTTTGCTTGTTGATCAGTCAATAAAATAAAACTTTAACAGTGTCAAAGTTCTGCTTATCTTGTGTCATTATCAAACTTTTTGAATGTTAATTACATTTTATGAAAAAAATTAGTGTAATTGACCTGTCTGGTGATAGAGAGCACAATTTAAAAAGCTTACCAGTGACCTTACCTTGCCCACCTGAGCGCTGTCTTGTGAGCCTGTTTGAGTTTCTGTCAGACTCTGCTTCATTGTCTGGGTGGTGATATGTATACATTTGCTGCTGTCACAACAGCACATAACAACTGACTAGCTTAGGCCTTGACTCGCCCACACAACACCAGCTGCAGTTGACAACCTGAATGTTATTGTGTTGTAAATGTCATTTTGTACCATTCACTGTAATTGACGTCAGACAACTTCACAATTTGACTTGCAATTTGTGCATGCTATTTACTATGTTCATAGTAAGATTATTTAAAATGTAAGGGCTCACCAGACTGCCATGAGATGGGACTGATTAGAGCTGAGCAAACTGCAATGTGTCTCCTTGTTTGTTTTATGAAGCTCTATGCATTACTGAGGTTCTTCCCTAGTGAGAAACATATGACTGTGCCCGAAAAGAAAACAATAGATCTTCAACTACTAATTTAGAATGCTTTGTTGAGCTTATCAAATTTTAATGGGATATTTAGTATGAATTTTGAAATTAAGCCTGAAATCCCTTTAACTGTATTTTAGGCCCGATTGTGGAAGTGTAAAAGGTGAGCAATGCAAATGAACCATCTCTCTAGGCTTGGCAACAAGTGTTTCCCACATCTGAATCCAACTGACATTGCACTTTGCTTTTACAATATAGCTTTTTGTACATTTTTTAGGTCATAAGACTTGACAATTTTCCATACTGCTGGTTAGTGCAGGCTGGGGGTTTTTCAAGAAGTGAAATTGTACTTCCTCCTATTGGTCTGTTTTTGATGCTCCATCACCATTAGTGTTCACACAGGCTGCACAGTATAACTTAATATACTTTGTATACTGTACACAACAAATCTTCTGTGGACTCAAAATTCTCAGATGTTCACCATTACAATAAATCTATGGAGACCTGCTGAACACTGGGTTCATGGCATGCTAAAAATAATGACGCTTGGTCATTTTCTACACAAACAGAAATGATATTGGTGTGACCCTGGTTGTGCAGGTCGGTAGAGAGAGAGAGAGAGAGAGAGAGAGAGAGAGAGAGAGAGAGAGGCCAAGTTACAAAGAGCTTACGTGTGTTGTTTCCTCTCTGTAGGTGGGATTGCAGCAGCGGTGTTCATCAGCTTCTTGTTGGCTCTCTATGCTGTGCTGTGGAAATGCATGGTAACTCCGCCCAGGAGGTACGCTATGTGATCCTTGCACAGAATCACGACCATTTCTGTGATTGATTTTCCTGTAATGGTAGCTGCAGTGAGATATTCAGTCGCAGTGTGTGGTCTGCAGTTGCACAGAGGTTGTGAGCGCTGTCTTGGGGCCGCAGTACAGCATAGTGGTAAGGAGCAGGGCTTTTGACCAAAAGGTTGCTGGTTCGATTCCCTGCTGGGGCATTGCTTTTGTGCCCTTGGGCCAGGTACTTAACCCAGAATGGCCTCATTAAATATCCAGTTGTATAAATGGGTAAAATTGTAAGTCCCTCTGGATAAAAGCATGACAATAATGTAATGGTGTTCCTAAAATGTCAGTGGTTAAGCATATGAGCACCTAAACTCTAATGGACACTGTTTTAAGCACTCTGACATAATGAACAGTTGAGTTTCTATATTTTAACACAAATTTAAAAAATATTTAAATAGTCAAAAATTACATTATTGAAAAAGCAACGGTCAATAAAGATCGCCTGATGAACTTTCAGGAAAGAAAAAAAGAAGAGGAGGGTGAGGCTTCGTGAACAGCGGAGTCAGGTGTGCTGAACTTTGGCGACTGCATCAGTTGGGAAGTCACGGAAATTGGGACCGGGCCACTATGCGCCTTTGGCTGGTACCACATTGCAGTGCCGGAGTCTGCGGGCGTTATGGATAGGGGGCTGTGATTGGTGGAACACTAAATCCCCCCACTGAAGTACATATGGCTGCTCTGCGCGGCTGCCATCTGTCCCAGCCCCTGAGGATACACTGTGGCACCGGGCCCTGTCCAACAGGTCATGAACTGTTGGCACTTGCATGAGGGCATTTTTATCAACAGGGAAAAACAATTTTTTTTCTCATGTTTTTTTTTGACTCTGACAATACAGAGGAATCTGTGTTTGTGATCACCTGGGGAGTCAGAGGAACTTGTGACAGTTAGAGATGCCAAGAGCATATTTGCACCCTTGGATGAAGGTATCAGCAAATGTTGCCCCTTTTTCCATTGACTCTTTTTGCGGTGAATTTAAATCTAGACCTGAGCAATAAGAATTCGTATTGAAAGTTTTTTTGTAAGTGTTGCGCATGGTAATACCTTGACAATGCCATTGTGAGGTTGTGCTGGGGTGTTATTTTGTACATCTGTTGTCCATTTTTTGTATTTGAGCAGTGGCGGTTTGCACACTAGTGAGGTATACCAGATTTAACCCCAAAAAAGTGATTGCTGTATTGCAGAGCTGGGGATAGTGCAGTTTACTGTACCTTCAAGGGCTCCTAATTTTAAGTTCCACTGTTGGTGTGTTACAGTGCAGCTGCATTCATTTTAGAAGTTTTATTCACCATATGTGCATGTCAATGTTGTTTTTTCAATCTTATAATTTAATCAGTCTGGAAACTTTACTGTATGACATGAATGCTACCAAATTAAAGTGAATGTTGTATTGTTATGCTGTAGTGGACATGAAGGTTTTCCCTTTATGTCCTGATCTCTTATATTTACATATGGTTTGTGTCTCCTCTCTGAAGGATTTGGAAGCTTTATGTATGTGACTGTACATGTATAAAAGCAGTAATTGTGCTGAATGTGGTCCAGTAGCAAAGGCTCCAGAACTCATCTGGTGTATCATGAACTCAAGGCTGGTGAATAAGACCACATCAAAGATGCCACCTCATTTTCACAGCACATGTTGCTGATGTTGGGGGCTCTTACTTGATTTCATTTTGGCCCCATACATATCTGTTGCAATGGACTGTATTATTCTAACACCTAACACAATAATGTGAAACGTAACACCTACTCTCATAGGTTTGAGTGTTGCAGAGGAGATTCACAAGAGGTGTAAAAAATAAATACAGGTTTAATATTCTTCCAGTGATTTTAGGCTACCTCCAATAAATCACTTGTACATCTACACAATACTGCCATTTAGAAAGAGCTCTGTTTCACAAAGGCAATTACATTTAATGTTTTTTTGTAACCTGTGTGAAGTGGAGTGCTGTCCTGTAGGCTTTGCTTTACATTCAAATTTAACCATGAAAAATATCATCCCTTTAAAAAACAGTGATATGAAACATGGATAGGTACAACATAAAATTAAATAAACATACATTCAGCTAACATATTAAAACCTTTTGCACTATAAAATTAGTAATTCTAGTATATTCCCATTTTAATTCTATTTGAATACCTTACCTTTATATTGCCAAAGGAAAAGAATGAAAAAGACAAGAGGCGACTAAAATACAGTAATGATGGCCAACTTGTGCAGTCAGATCACTTGATCCCTCTCATTTCGGTTTTGGGCATATATCTGTGCATGCCTTTAGGCCTCTGGTCATATTGCATTGATTCTTGCACTTTGGTGTGCTTTGGCTACAGTCCTGCGGCTGCTGAAAGCCACTGCCCTGGTCCATGTCTCAGGCAGAGTGTCTGAATACAGCTATGGAGGTATGTGCACTTGAACAATTAAAAAAAAAACAACTTCTCGTTAATGCCACTTAGAAGTTTGTGATCGTCACAACAGGGTCTGCTGGGTCAGAGTCTGTCCTTGGTGGGTGTGGGGTATATCTGGGATACTCATTGTCATCAAAGCTCATGTTTTCATAGATTTCATAGGTGTTTTCATAGATGTGTTTGACTCCGGAAGTTTCCTCCTGTGCTTTCTTCTGCTGCTTCAGAGGCACGGCCTTGTTCACACCAGGTCCTGAGAGGGAAAGGGGTGAGGGATACAGAGGTTCACTACAGAAAATGCACAAGTGGAAGCACCTTAGCATCCAAAGGGTTTTCTGCTTGTGGATCATTTAACATGCTTTGACATTCGCTCGTCTATACTGAGCAGCCATGCACAGATGAGTGTACATATGCAGTGACCAGCACAGTTATTTTAAGCATACACATGTGTACATTTCCTATAAATTCTAATGAGTAGAATTCAGGAGGTATAAAATGGCATGCACTGTATGTGTGCATACGTGCAAGTGCCTGCTTGCTGTTCCACTCACCGAAAAAGCTTAGCAGCACAGGCAGGAAGATGAGGCCGTGCGCCATCCCGAGCAGCGTGATGACCAGGTTCAGTCGGAAGAAGAAGATCTGGATGAGCTGTGCCTTGGCGAAGGCCAGCACCACGATCCCTGGCAGGTTCGTCATGGCGACTCCAGCAAACACCTGGTGGAGATATGCAGGGATGCCAGATCACTCCAGAGTTATCACAGGAGCGTGAAGCCCATAACACAATAAAGTTAATGTGTGTCTGTCTGTAGACTTTACCCAAAACTACCCAAAGACAATTAAACTTGATTATAGAGTAAGGCGTAAAGTCATCAGTGATGATAGTCAGTGAGCCAATAGTTTGAGCCAATAGTTTTGCCTATGGTGTGGAGAGTTGAGACAGCAGTGCTGGGTTGATGTACAGTGCCAGTCAAAAGTTTGGACACACCTGATTAAGATAATGGGAAACATGCATTCAAAGATACTTTGATCTAATGACTTATGCTTAGATGCTTGAAATTTCTTTCTTAGACAAATATAAACAGTGAAGTTGATGCCTATGTATGAATTTCTTTTCAAAAAAATATTTTTAAAAATGTTTTTGGCTACTTTGAAGAAGCTAAAATATAAGAGTTTTGTTCATGACACTTTTTGTTCACTGCATAATTCCATTTGCGTTGTTTCATAGTTTTGATGTCTTTGTTATTCTAAAATGTGGAAAATCCTTCTATGAATAGGTGTGTCCAAACATTTGACTGGTATTGTAGGTGTTATTCATGCTGTCAGAAGTATACTCACTGCACTGCCCATGTTGGCGGTTGCCTCTTTGGCTCTCTCCACGCGAGTGGGCAGGGTACTGAGGGCGAAGGAGCGGGTGAGGTGTGACACAAACTCCACCGAGATCCCCACAGCCTGAAACCAGAGAATGCACACGGAACATTAATTTTTCATTGTGAACTTCAGATGCAAAAAAAAAAGAACATATCCTTGTAATCAGTGTTTGACTCCCAACTGCCAACCCTGAATGCCTTAAATGAAACCAGATTGCATGCTGAAAAATGGCTACAGCAGAGACACAGCTGTCACCAACACTATCTCATGTCGTTACAGCAGAGGTACACCCTCTTTTCTCTTGTGTAAAAGCCCGTCCTCTAACTGAACAGTGTGAACAATATCACAACTATCAGCAGAACAGAAACCAAGGCCTGTGTGTGGAAAGCGCAGGGAAAGGACAGTTGACTGCCGCTGCTGTGTGTCAAAGGGGAGGCGGGGAGTGTGCACTGACCGTCACCAGGTTGATGAGGGACACAGCGTTGTAGTCGATGCCCCACAGGGTCATGACTCCCACGGTGTCCACGGTGATCATGACGATGGTGAGCAGGTTGAGCAGGCCAGAGCACAGGTCCATGCCCAGCAGGATGCAGCACACCACAAAGGTGGGCAGGAGGCACAGGGAGATGTTGAAGAGGCCCTCCGGCACGATGGTCAGGTACTGCTCGTAAAACACGTATGGTATCCTGCGGGCAAGAGAAAGGGGAGTCAAGATAAAAAAAAGAAAACTGGAATAACCGTGTTCTGCTCGTTTGAAGGAGTGATATTAGTCAAAAATCAAAATTTGATGTGGTCTGTGATGGGAAAGCAAGCACTAAAATGCACAATTGAGTATACTGAATTGCGCTCGGTGGCCTGGAACATGACTCTTCTCCTCCAGGCCTTACTGCTAGCCACAACTTTTCAGTACAGTGAACACAGAAATACATAGCATATTAGAAAAAGCTGTTTTTTTTTCCAGAGATACTGCTCTGACATTAATCATCATAATAGAGAAAATCATCTCATGGCATTATCAAAGTGCTATTGCTTAGAAACCATTGACTGAAGGAGGAGGGTTAGGTTGTAGATTTATGGGAGGTAGTATGACACGATCAATTGTACATTTCACTGCTCCAAACATACCACAGATCATATCCAATACCAGTTTTTGAGTCCTCTTTAAAATTTTTTATATTTATAAATTTTTATAACAGGATAGAGTCTTTCCTTAAGAGATCAGCACTGTTGCATATGGCCTAGATGAACGCTATTAGCTGGCTTCTGTAGCTTAGGTCTTGACTGATGCCCTGCCGTAACACTGCAATTCTCCGATCAGACCAGCAAACCAAAGCCTTCATTATCATTAACACCTTGGTGATGAAACAGGGCCCTACAGAGGAGAGGG